GGACCTGAGAGGCCGAGGCAGACGGGTCTCTGTGAGTTTTGGCAGCATAGTCAAAGAGGGAGTTCCAGGACAGCCAGTGCTACACAGAGAAACCCTGTCTCGAAAAGCAAAACAAAAGAGAACGGAACAAATTCAATAATGTCTGGCTATAAATGCCTGTAAGCCCAGCATTTGTGGGGCTGAGACGGGCAGATCTTGGGAGCTGCTGGGCAGCCTGTCTAGTCAAAACAGTGAGCTCTCAGTTTAGTGAGAAACCTGGGGCCAAGGAAGTAAGGAAGAGAGTGGTAGAGGAAGACACTTGACATCCTCTCTGGCCTTCACATGTGTGCATATAGGTGCGTTACCTGCATAGTCATGTATATGCTCTACACACACACACACACACACACATATACACACTCACATACACACAACTAACAAATGGTCAGAGAAGCAAGAGATGGAACTGGAGACTGAAAGCCATGGCAGAAGAGATGTGGCAAAGCAGATGTGGCAGCTGTGACAAATGTGAGAGAGTGAAGCATGACAGATTAGAAAAGCTTTGACTTAATATAGCAATTCTGAAGGCAGTATAAGGAATACAGAGAGCATTTGCAGACTGGGTAGGAGGAAGAAGCAAGCAAGAGATTACAGCATAATAAGGAGTAATTGGTGAGGTGGGGTGTGGGAATCATAGTGAAGGCATTCATTTGAAGGAACTTGATGGTAACTGGAAGAAGGGCACTAGAATAATACTTACAGAGAAATCCAAAGGCAGATGGATAGTAGTTTTTCCCCCCTTTGTTTTTTTTTGTTTTGTTTTGTTTTGAGAAAGGGTTTCTCCGTAGCTTTTGGTTCCTGTCCTGGAACTAGCTCTTGTAGTCCAGGCTGGCCTTGAACTCACAGAGATCCGCCTGCCTCTGCCTCCCCGAGTGTTGGGATTAAAGGCGTGTGCCACCACTGCCCAGCGGATAGTAGTTTCTATTCTTCATTTTGAGAGAAATTCATTTTCATTCCCCCATTTCTCTGTTGTTTGACATTGGCAGCATGGTATTGTGGTCTACAAATGTGTTGTAGAAATTTATACCTGTCCTGTAACATAGACAGACTATTGGCTGCAGGTTGTACGTGCCTGAAACCAAACAAAGCATAAAGAAACTGACTAAGGCTCAGAGATATTCAGCAATTTCCCATGGACAGTTTTTTAAAGCATGCTGTATCTTAGTAAGTGTCTAGTGCCACCGAAAAGACTGATAATATAAGAGAAGTGATTTTATCCTGGCTTTTCTTGCGAGTGCGGCTTTAGGGAAAAGCCCATACTTAATTTGGAAATGTGAAGTCCTAAACAGGTCCAAGTATTAGGAACTTGACAGGTGAGGAAGAGAGACTTTTAGGCAATAGCTAATTTTTATTGAGCAATTTACCATGTGCTACATTCTGAGTTAAATACTTGCATTGTCGAATTCCCACAGTGACACTCCGAGGTAGTTACTGTTATCTTCCACTAACAGATGTGACGACCAAAGTACAGAATAGTTGAGTCATTTGGTCAAGGTTATGTAGTTACTGTGTTGTGGATTTCTTCAAGCATTGTAGAAGAAACCGAGGCTGAGGGAATTGTCGTTCAGATCTAGGCTCTGTCTGGCACTAAAGTACCGCACTGTCTTCGATATCAAACTGTCATGAAAGGAAGCTAGTAAAATAGGGACTTTGCTTGTGTTTTTTCCAGATCCATTCTGTAAGACAAGAATGGTTCCCGGATTCAGGTGATGGCAAGAATTTCCCGTTATTCTAGGAAATGAATAGTGAGATCATTTTTTTCTTAAAGTAACACACCACAAAGCATAGCACAGCAGGGCATTTGTATAAAGCTTTACAGTGACAACAGGGGACAGAAAAGAGCTACTCAGTAGTAGTGATAGTTGAGTTCTCATGTGGCTTCTTCAGGTGGCTTCATGTCAGCAGACTTTCTTTGCTTTCCACAGGGAAGATCGTTTGTGAGGGAGAATTGGCCCAGAGGCCGTTTCTCCCTCAGCTTAAGGCCCACTAACAAGCTGATCTGACTAATAAGCCATCAGCCTGCATTTGTAGACTATAAACATTTGAGCTGGAGACTGTGGGAGAGCAGAATGTGAGACTGGGAGGAACATCTTAATTGCTTTCCCTTCCGAGATGACTGTCTCCTAAACAGAAACAACATGTACAACAGGCGGAAGCAGATGGTAGCGCTGTCTAAATTCCCACTACTCTACTCACGTGTCACTGACAGTGTTTATCTAGTGATTGGGACTTTAATTATAGCTTGATCCAAGTCTTAATATATGGTATAGTATTAATGTTTAATAAGAACATTATAATTCTTTTTTTTTCAGTAATGAACCTCCAAGGTTTTAGTGTCTTCTTAATTTTGTTTCTGTTATACCTGGAGATTGCATTGTGTACATATCTATATGAATTCTGATTTTGTAGGCTTTCTTCCAGATCTCTTTTTCTGTGCTCGATAAATTAATGGAAAGGGAATGAACAGAAACATATGATATAGCAAGTGGAAAGATAGGCTTTTATTCTAATTGCATATATTGTGTATTACTAGGCACTAAGAGCTATGCAGGCTACCAAGTTATATAAAATGCATCTCTTGCCCTCCACCACTGAACTGATGAGTGGAACCTTGCTTTCTAGTCCCTGGGGGGCTCCTGAACTAGATTGGTAAGTGTTCCTTAACAGTGCAGCCTAACAAAATGAATCCCAAAGTAGTCAAGTCCAGTTTTTGAGATTTTGGTAGCTAGAATAATGAGATAAGACTAATAATACCAACACTGATACAGACCATTGAGTGGTGGGATAAAAAATTTCGAAGAAAGTAATATATTCTGGATAAAGTTGAGGGAGGCATTTCACAACTCAGCACAAAGAAAAAGTAAATTTGAATCAGTCTAACACTTTAAACAGAAGGGTGCCTGCTCTTTTTTGATAGGTGGAAAATGCTTATGGTAAAGATAAGGGGGGGTATTTTATTCAGTACATTTCTTCCGCTTAGAAAGCTCCTTTTTGCTTGGCCTATGAATGTGGAGAGAGCAAAAGGACCTACTAGTCCTTTTAAAGGGATTAAAGGGAATTCTACAAGGCAGGACAAGCTGGAAGGGAGGTGGAGGTACCAGTAGCCTTAACAACTGAATAAATAAAGCCTTTCTTCTTAAAATATAGTTATGAAAAGCTTATCCAACATTAAATATTAACAAAGAATTAATGAAAATATCCCAAACACTTTATCATCAAAGGAAGCTCCCACCCCTGTTTAAAAATGCTGTTTAAATCTCAGAATCACATCAGATGTGAGCCGGGCGGTGGTGGCGCACGCCTTTAATCCCAGCATGCGGGGAGGCAGAGGCAGGCGGATATCTATGAGTTCGAGACCAGCCTGGTCTACAGAGCTAGTTCCTGGACAGGCTCCAAAGCCACAGAGAAACCCTGTCTCGAGAAACAAAACAAAACAAAACAAACCAACCAAACAAAAAAAAAACACATCAGATGTGATTCAGACATAAATTAGTAATGGTCTGGGGGGGGGGTGGTGGTAAGTACTGCAAGAAAGCTGCTAAGTGGGCATGACCTCCAAGTGAGACTCTTCTGTCACCTTTTATCAATTCATTGGTAAGAAGGACCCAAAATTTAGCAATTTTGTGATTGAACAGATTGCTAAATGTCAAACTCCCTCAGTAAGACCTGTACATATGTGGGAAGAATAAAAAAAAATGAAATCCATTTGCACTGGATTCGATTTTGGCATTATGCAAATACTTCCTCTGCAGGGCCTCTAGTGAGAAGGATAATACCTTCCACCTGGCATTGACTCTGAGTGGCTTTGTAATTCCTTTGGTCTATTATGTTGGTTGGTACTTTGGCTTCTTCGGCACCCAGCACCAGCTGATGCCCTGATTTGAGTCCCAGTTGGACAGCCTTTATTGCTCAGTACTGTAGCTGTCTCCAGGGCATTGTTCTTGAGACTTCCAACAGGGCAGATTTGTGTAGTTGGCCCATCTGGACAAGATCTGTAACAAGTAGAGCTCTGTGCAGTAGGCTCATCTCCATAGTCCACCCCCACTGTCCCCGCCTCCGGGCTGCAGCAGCCTGACACCCCAGCCCCTTCAGGGACAGTATCAAAGAGATACTCTCTGCTCCTTTCAAAGGGGTATTGCTTGTGGCCTCTCATTGATTGGCACTACCTGGGCAGAAATAGGAACACAGGGGCTCTCTTTTCCCTTTTCAATTTAATCTCCTCCTATAAATGAATTCTTAAATTTGATTCTTTGTATGTGAGTGCTAATGTGTCCGGTAAAAGTAATTTCTAGATCTGAATATGGTAATACACACTGTTAATCCTAACACCATGAAGGCTGAGACAGGAGGAATATGAGTTCAAGGCTAGCCTGGGCTGCAAATAAGTACCAGGATATCTTAAGATATATAGAAAGACCTTGTCTCAAAAAAAGAGAGAAAGAAGAAAGAAAGAAAGAAAGAAAGAAAGAAAGAAAGAAAGAAAGAAAGAAAGAAAAAGGAAAGGAAAGGAAAGGAAAGGAAAGGAAAGGAAAGGGAAAGGAAAAGGAAAAAGAAAGAAAGCTAGGCCAGCTGCCTTGGCCATTCCAAAGTACTGTCTCCCAAATCAAGGGCGATCAAAGGGTATCTCAATGAATAAGATAAATTCAGTATGAAAATGGAGAAAGAAGGCTGGTCTTATCTGTGTACTATAGAATTTACATTGACCATTGGACTTAATTGACTTGAATTAGGAATGTATGTGGAATGGAAAAACAATGAAGAGCTGAGATAGACGAGAGGGAGAAATGGGAGAAAGAAGGAGGGGAGTTGGAAGGGAGGGAAGAGAACTCATATTACATAGTTAATTATTATTCTGGACCCAGAGAAAAGGACACAGTATTTTAAGAGGTTATTTGTCTGTGTGTTCCAACTGCTATCATCATATCTGTATTTTTCTCATCTCATTTCTGTGTTCTTCACAGATCACTTCAGCGAACACATGGTAATAGACCAGTGCATCCCTATGACACAGAGCGACACACCAACCCACTCTATCCTACCTTTCTTATAGCCTTATCTGAATCCTATGAAGAAGAAAGGGAAGCACAAAAAGGGTAAAGAAACAACCCAAACTATGGCTCTCTAAGTTGTACAACTACAACCCGAGGTAGGTTGAGTTCTCTAGATTCCTAGATAGGGACACCCTCTGCATGCCTGGTTTCTCCTCAGGAACATTGTAGCCTATGCGATTCAGAACAAGGTTTTATGGTGCCATTATTCGCTTGCCAAGAGGAGGTGCAGTTAGAGATTCCTGGAAATTAAGAGACTTCAGAGAAAAAGAAGAAACAAACGTAAGCGTCTCTCTAAATTTTGCTTCTGAACTCCACTCTTCCTAGGTTTTAGTACCTTTCATCTCCCTCGTCTAGATCATCAAATGCATTTCTTAAAGAATAAGCCCCCCACACACACCTTTTTCCTACCCAGCAGCATAACAAAGTCTGTGGCTACCCTAATTAAGGACTAGAGAAAATACTTCTGGGACAAGGAAGTTTAGTTAGATCTGGAAGGGTAAACTTTCTGAGAGTCCTAGGTTTTTGCCCCAGTTCTAAAAATGGTAGCTTTTCTAGAAGTGAACCTTTCTGCTGGACCAGTCCCCTAGCCCAGAGCAGCCGGTGAGTGCCACATCCTTGTTAAGTGGTGGGAACACGTGCTTTTGTCTCTCTCTCAGTAAGGGCCTCTGACTAGGTCATTCAGAGCAGTACTTATGGACTAAAAGGACTCCATATTTGAGCTTGCAGTGGGAGGGAGAGAAGTGCCAAATAAAGGGCAGGCTCTGGATGGGAGTAGGAAAGATAAAGATGAGCAAACCCAGAGTCCAGTAGTCTAAATATTCTTCACAGAGGATCTCCAGCAATGACAGACAGTCACTCTGGCATCAGGCACATGGACAAACAATGAGAAATGCAGAGTAAGCAGGAAATCTGGATTGAGTAGATAAGCCGTGTTTGTAGTATAGCCACCGTTGACACTAGGCAGTTCTAGTATAACTTGGGAACTGGTGGTTGAAGTTATGAGGGGGAAGTCAAGAAGAAACTGTTGAAGCTCCCGATAGAGTTTGATGGAAGGGAAAAGCCCACCCGGGTGAAAGCAGGAAGCCAGCAGCTGTATACTATAGCCCCCACCCTGTTCACAGTGCCTGGTGGATGTCTTCCGACCTTAGAACTTTATAGACAACCCAATAGAAGATATTGAAGATAAGAAAAGTAAAGGGAAAGACAGCCCTGGAGATGGTGTCGATTCTCTTGGCTCGGTCCACATAGAGTTTCCTCATGGTTTCTCCCTCCTTTTGAAGAGGGGCTGCAGGTTGGGGACTATAAATTCTGGAACCTTCCATTGGACCTCCATCCCTTGCTTGTAGGCAGTGTCCGAGGCCATAGCCACGAAAATAGAAGCGGCTTTCTCGTATGATGTCTTCTTCCTATAATTGCAAGAGATAAAAGGTGGTATTTGAAGCCAGAGTAAAAGCCAGACCACCCATAAATGCCTCATATCCAATGTCATACAGACAAATGGCTCACTAAACTGGCCCACTACATGCTTTTTGTTGACCACAAAATTATATGCTAAGCAGCTATATGTTGTACATAAGTGCTATGATTTCATTTAGAGACATGTACCTAGTTGCCTTTTGAAAATGTGTAACATCATTTGGAGTCGTCTAAAACCACCAAGTGTCAGCATCTCAATGTCAGATTATTTCTGACAGGGAAACAGAACAACAGTCACAGTGATGCTGAGATATTTTGACTTGATGGAATTGACTTCAATGAATTTAAAAAGCTTTAGAATTAGATTATTTGGTATATAGTACTTTTAAAAGTGATTTTGACTTAAAGCTAAGAATTCTAAAAGTTCTAAGTGACCAAATGAGCTAGACAAAGTAGGTTACAGTTGCTCACTCTTCAAAGAGCTGTATGATTCTTTACAAATTAGCTGATCTTAAAAAAATAAATAAAAATAAAAAACAAATTAGCTGATCTGAAAAGGGAATCAGTAAATCTATAATAACACTTATTACCCAATATGCATTACATTTCTGTAGAATGCATGTCTTTTGATAGACACATTAACAGAGAGGAGGTGTGTTTTATACAAGTAGTGAGCAGTATGTTGTAGACAGCAGAAAGTCTATTAATACAACCCCTGACTTACAACATTGAGTAGCTGTGCCACAGCTGGGAAGCAGAAAGTAGGGACAGAAAGAGATAAAAGAAATAGATGGGGTCTGGGAGAGAAGAGGGAAGAAATACCCATATGAGAAATATGTCCTTCAAATAGATGATTACATAAATGAAAGTATTGAATTCTCTGCAGGAAAAGCTTCAGCTAAGAGATTGCTTGAAATGAAATCTCCTTTCTTAGGCTGTTTACACCTACCAACTCAAGTTTGCCCAGAACTGAGGAAGCCCCAGAGACTAGTAGTCTCTCATCACTAACACTGGAGAAGTTCAAGGTAGAACAGGAAGAGTAAGTCACCCTAGTTATCTGATGTAGTTCTATAAATTATAAGCACAAGATACATGTATATTGTGTGGGCTTGCCACATGTGTGTATATATATTTGCTAAAAATTTTGCACAGTTCAAGGGACATTGAGGGATCTTTATAACAAGGACTCTGCGGCTACAGAACCCAACTGAAAAGTTGTTTTGTAGATGAGATATTGGTATGGCTGGTCATAGTAACTCCTAACTATTACATCACCCAAAAGTGAACTGTTAGGAGGGCAAGTCTGCTACTGGGCTTCAGTGGCACACAAACTCAGGCCAGAAATTCACAAAGAAACCCTATCCCTTCCTCTGCTATCTGTTAACTCATATATAGACTTGTTCACTACTGTATTCCCAGTGACAGGTGCCATGCTTGGAACCTAATAGACACTCAGTAGATATCTGTTGAATGGACAATTGGGCTAATGAATCACATGCTTCAGGACATAAGGAATGGAGTAACCTTTTGTTTTGTGATGCCCATATCTTGTCAGGGTCCCATACTAAAGAGTCTGCTCAGAAAGGATTCTCACTCAGTTATGAAGTACTTGACAGGAAATGCAATTACTATTTGCCCCACTGTACAATGGCTCCATAGCCTTTGGCTTCTCCAAAGGGAGGAGCACTTTGAACATAGGAAAAAATTAAAGCTGCGCATCAGAGAACTTTGCTGTCCTACTCTTGATTTATCAGGGTCTTCAGGGACAGTTGTATGTGTGTATATATGTTGTATGTATGTATGTCAGAGTGAGTTCACTGTCCTGCTCTTCAACTTGGAATGGTGACAGTTTGGCGGCCTGAAGGCTTTGCTCACTTGCCATTTTAGCCTCTGCTATCAAAGATCTTGATTCATCTCACATGCATTCTGCAATTAATTTTCACACTCTGTCTACAGGAGAGCTTTGCTGGGTCCATTATAAAGATAAAGAACCAGAGGCAAACAGAGTAAGTATCTCAGAAGGAATTGAAAAGTGAGAGCGGTAAGTAAAGTTTTTTTAAAAGAATCTTCCTAGTGATCGAGTTCAGGACCTTGTACCCCCCTCTTCACTAACCCAACTAGAAGATACAACTATAGAATATAGGTATTGAGAGAAAAACCTCTAATGGAGAAAGTTAGATCGACCTGCTAGTTCTGTTTTTATAAATCCAACTTTTCTCCTTTTATCCAGTAAATCTGAGGGAAATTATTTGGAAACATTTCCCAGGCTTAAAAATGTAATTTCATAGAGAAGGGAAAAATATATCTAGTAAAGTAAGCTGCTCTTGGCTCTTTTTAATTTTAGTATGTACCTTTTATGGTCCAGGAAAGATGAATAGCCTAAAATCCAAGGATAAAGGGGCCTGGGTTTGGATATTAGATATTTATGACAGATTCTGAGTGGTAAGTATGTGTTGGGGAGTGTCAGTGTGCCATTCAATATTACTTTGCGATTTCCATGGTTATTGAAATAGAATTGAATTTTTCTGCATATCTAGGAGCAGAGTGCTGAGAGGCTAGAGAAGGAAGCTAGACCCTAGCCAGCCTGGGAAATAAATGCCCAGTGGAGAAGGGGTATGAAGATGGGAAGGAGTGATAAATGTCAGGGGAACAAGCAGGACAAGAAATTGGAGATGGGGTGGTGTACTCAATAGCGGATGGAGAGGTGAACAAGCTTCCGAAAGTAAGTCCCCGAGAGGATTTGCTGCTATTTTGTAATTTTTCTAGTTCTCAAGTTATTGTGTTAATAACATCAAGAAGTTTTGTCTGTGCAGTTTGACAGCCTTTGCCTTTGGCTGCTGTGTTCAGAGCCAGGGGCTAACCCTGCAGGGATGGTGAGAATCCACCCTTTCCTCTGAATCATTTAGACCATCTGGGAAGACAAAGCAGAAACATGTGCAAAACACCCACTATTTTTGGCAGCAGTGCGGGAGAAGACCACTATGTAGGGGAGACAAGTGGTTGAGGAGAGGTTAGAAAGACAATGACTAGCCCTAGAGCTAGACGGACAGTTGACTGGCTCCTGAAGAACCCTATCGTGACCTTGACTCTGGGCTCCTGAGAATTATAATATTTCTCTCCTCTTCCATTGGGTTTTCCCAGGCTGAAGGTTTCTAGTTTTTTTTTTACTGGTACATCAAGGCCCCAAAAGAAGGTCTAGACAAACATGAGCTCTCTGTCAACTTCTTTAGCCAGTTTAGGGCATCCAAGATTCCTGTTTAGCACACTGGGGTCACATTAGCTTTAGGAAGCTCAAGAGAGGGGTATTATTGATGGCACAGATTTGGGTTTCAGGCTTTATTCACATTAATAATAAGCCACAGCCCACTTTTAGGCAAGTCACAGTGTCCTGTTTAGGCATCAAGCAACTACTAAGTAACTTTGTAATAACTGTACAGTGGCGCACTCTATTATAAGCACATGCCAACCTGCATATAAACACGAGCAGACAAAATCTGGGCAGTAGCTGGTTGAATGAGCACAGGATAGGAGGTGGGACTGAAGTCAAGCTGAGTAGCTCTGTGGTAACTAGCAATCTTTGTTACTGGGACGTCAACACAGGCATGTTAGGTAGAAAGGGGACTCTAGACTATTCGATGACCTGCTGTTCATTCCTAGGAAGGCAATGTTAAAATGCATCAAAAACTCCTATGAATGATTTTGGTACCTGCAGACAAGTTTCACACAAAGAAGAGGTCAAGATAGTCTAAAATAATAAAGATATTATTTTAGAAAAGGGATAATCTGTTTTCTTTCCCTCTGCTAACTCTGTACATGTTTTCCTGTCCCCACTGTGAGGCAAGAAGTCTTTTTAAAAAAAAAAACAAAACTTTTTTCATCATAATACCCAATCCAAATTCCCACTCCCTCCCCTCTTCGCATTCGCTCCACCCCAACCCACCCACCTTCCATCCATTCCCCAGAGAGGACAAGGCACACCGTGACCCTGGGGAAGGTCTAAGGCCCTCCCTGCTATATCTAGGCTGAGAAAGGTGTCGATTCAAAGAGAACAGGCTCCCAAAAAGCCAGCACAAGCAGCAGAGGCAAATCCTGGTGCCACTTCCAGTGGTCCCTCAGTCTGCCCCAGCCATGCAGCTGTCAACCACATTCAGAGGGACTGGTTTCATCCCATGCTTGTTCCTTCCTAGGCCAGCTGGTGTTATAAGAGTATTACTCGGCAGTAAGAAACAATGACATCTTGAATTTTGCATGCAAATGGATGGAATAGAAAATACCATCCTGAGTGAGGTAACCCAGACCCAAAAAGATAAAGATGGTATGTACTCATAAGTGGATACTAGCTGTAAACAAAGGATAGTGAGCCTATAGTTCATGATCTTAGAGAAGCTAAGTAACAAGGTAAACCCAAAGAAAAACATATATAGATCCACCTGAAAAGTCAAAATAGACAAGATCACCTGGCAAAATGGGGAACATAACAGTGGAGGGAGAAGGGGGGAGAAGGGAGGGGAAAAAGGAAGAAGAGGGGTGAAAGGAGGAGTTGAGGGAACCATTATGGGGTTAGCAAAAATCCTGGCTCTAGAGAAATTCCCAGAGATCCACAAGGATGACCTCAGCTAAGACCCTAAGCAGTAGAGGAGATGGTGCCCAAACTGGCCTTGCCCTGTGCTCAAACTGATGAATATCTTAAATATCGCCATAGAACCTTCATCCAGCAACTGATGGAAACAGAGGCAGAGACCCACAGTAGAGCACTGGACTGAGCTCCCAAGGTTCAGTTGAAGAGTGGAAGGAGTGAGAATATGAGCAAAGAGATCAAGACCATGATGGAGTCACCCACTGAAGCAGTCTACCTGAGTTAATGAGGCAAGAAGTCTTAAGGGCCAGTCTCTGGACGAATGTATTCAAAAATGCAGTTGTAGATCCATCCACTAGAGGGCTCACTATTTAGAAACCGTGAATAAACTAAAGAGCAAAGAATTGGTATTCAGAAAAATATACATGAGACAGGAGCCGTTTTCCCCAGAAAGAAATGTGAAATCATGCAGTTTATGTGATCATTAGAAGTCATATGGGAGGGGTGCTCTAGGAGCAACCGAGGTGGGAGTTGGGTATTAGGAAGAACAAAGTATTAGTATGTCTCAGATAGGCTAGAGTCAGAATTTGTGTGTGTATGTGTCTGTGTGACACTGTGGATCAAATTCATGATTTATGTATATGCTAGGCAAGCACTTTGCCCCTGAGCTACATCTGCTGCCCCCTAGAGTCAAGATTTTTAACAGTAGGTTTGGTTAATTTGGTTTTTGTCCTCCAAAAGTACTCATGTGCTTGGCTTTTTGGTTTTGAAGCCTCTGGATTAGGCAGAAAACAAGGAGTCAAAGCTTGAGACATTGTGCTTCTAAAGATTAAGCAACCAGGAGCAAGGCTTTCCATTTTGCTGTAATTGGAACTTGCTTTTTTTTCCTCTGGGTAGCTCAGACATTTCTGTTGTCATGACAACTTACCTAGTGCCTATTGTCTGGGCAATTGAGGGAAAACTGCTTCTGTTGTCATGACAACTTCCTCTTCTATCTCCCCCTCTTGGTGATCACTCTGCTATGGAAGGAATGGGGCTAACAAATAGGAGTGAGGAAGGACACCACTCAAGCCTAACAACTCCGAAGTGCCTGTTGAAGATCAGCACACATCCCACCAGTCAGAAGAGGCAAGTAGTGATGTTTCAATTACAATTCAAATATAGGGACCATCTTACAGTACTCCTCTTGAAAGGTACTAGTGTCTGACTCTGAGTTCTTGCCAGTAGGACAACTTAGAGTACCTTCCTTCTTGATGTAAGGAAAACCAGAAACAACTATTATTGTTACAACCAGAAACTGAGTATTGCAGCTCAGATGGAAAGGGATCCTGGCATTTGGGAGCCCAGGAGTACCACAGAGTCACCTTAAGCGTAGCAGCTTATAGTCCTGCCCCAGGAAAAGGTTTTCTCAATGTAACAACTCTACTCTGGCAAGGGAAGGTTTCCCCAGCAAAGTTGTTACAGTTCTGCTCAACTTTGCTCTGCTCCAGCCACTCCATTCTGGTGAAAGAAGACCTCACCCAAACCTCATTCAAGAGATTTATTGGGAGGGAAGAATCCAGGAGGGTGGCTGCCTCTGCCAGGGTGGGAAAAGAGCAACAGCAAACTCAACAGGCACAGGGCTTATATAGGGCTTCATAGGGGTGAAGTTTTTCCAGGGTGAAAATTTTCAGGGTGGGAATTGGTCAGATTTCAATCCCTGAGTTTGGACAATCTCAGATATTGGCTGGATTTCATGTTCAGGGATTGGTTGGTTTTTGTGCTGAGTTGGTCAGGGACAGAGTGTGTTTCTTTGGCTCCCATTTCAGGACCAAAGTGTGTGTGTGTGTGTTTTTCTGACCCTTTTTAACCCTTTGGCTCTGGATTCAGGGCCAGGGTGTGTTTCTTTCACTGGCTCTGGTTTCAGGGTCAGGGTGTGTTTTTTGGCTGGCCCTTTTTACCCTACAGTTACTTCTGAAAGCAGTAGCATTTGTGCTAAGTCAATAAGGATCTAATACTGGCAAATATGCTTTTGTTTATTTATTTTTTGAGACAGGATTTGTATGTAGTCCTGGCTGCCCTGGAACTCTCTCTGTAGATCAGGCTGATCCCAAACTCACAGAGATCCTCTTGCCTCCGCCTCCCAAGTGCTGGGATTAAGGGCATGCACCATTATGCATAACCTTGGCTAACATATTTTAAGTGCTTACTATATGCCATACTCTTAATCCCTCCACTACCTTATAGGGGTTAATGTCCCTTTGGATAGATAAAACAAACAAGTATTTAATTTTACTGTCACCAGCCTGGAACTAGAATCTGGGATTCCTGGTTGCCCAGTACTAGAGCTCTAGATTGGGACTTGGTTTTTGGGAGGGTTAATAAGGAGGAAGGAGTTCAAAGGAGAAAGGAAGTAGAACCCCCCCTGTTGGTACTCACCATGCGTTGCCGTCTCTGCCTTCTACGAAGTCTCATAAATTCCTTGTGCTGACGAGAGACAAAATTGACGGCAGCATACTCAAGCAGAGCAGCGAATACAAAGAGTAGGCATACAGCCATCCAGATGTCAATTGCCTTCACATAGGATACCTGAAATATCCATCAATAGAGCAGTTATCCTTCTGGAGTCCTTCCATAGACTATTCAGTGGATTTCCAGTCCATATCAATTGCTTGTTATTGTTCAGTTTTATCCTGAAACTTCTGTGATTTAAATAAGTCTGTCATGATATGGATGCCTATCTGAAGGCCATGTCAGTGAGCCTGGGCTCATCCTTTCTCAGCAGCCTCCACCCTTTGTGTCTATGAGCCTTTCCTCCCTACTCTTCCTATATTTATTCTTCTTGCATCCCTCTTTTGCCTTCTGATTCTTCCCTTGCAGTAAGTAGCAATCATCAAAAATCATGTTTGTTGGCTCTCTGGTGTCCCCTGAGTTTCTCATAGCCGCATTGATAATTAGTGAGAGTTCACAATTCCCATGTGAGCTTTGTGGACATTTAATACTCAGAGAGAAATGCTCTTCTAGCAGAGATCACTTAGTTAGAAAGGCGGTATTAGGACTGGGCAATTCTGAGCTTTCAAATCAATGACCTTGACAGTTACCTAGGTACAGGTTCACTGGCAGATAGGAGCTCCTTCATTCCCATTCTCTGTTGACCCTGTGAAGTTTGCTGCTGCCTTTTCAGGCCTCCCTGCTAAGCCTCCATCTCTCACCTTGGACAGAATGGCAGAATCCTGAAGGAGTGCCACCTAGCCTTTGTCATGACCTTTAATAATGGCATCCACCCATCTGGTTCCAGCTGTGCTCCTCTAGTACCTGCCCTAGGCAGCTTTTAAGAGTAGTTGACCACCAACCTCTCCAGGAACATGTTACAGCTAGGTGGTTCTAAGAGGAGGGACAGAACTTTAGTATATTAAGATCCTTTCACTTCCTTAACCAAGGGCATTCCCTGTGTAATTTTGAGCTCTCTCCATATAGCTTCCTATCAGGAGCAGGATTCCTGAAGAGTAACTTCTTTCTATCAGCTTCTGTACTACATGGCACTGAGGGTGCTGCAGATCCTGTGGAAGGAAAGGTTCCATTGGGTAGGTTTTCTACTTGTTAGCTTTCTGTGATAGTGGAGATTGACCCCATGACTTCATATATGCATAGTGCTTTACCAGTAAGCTATATCCCTAACCTCCCATCTTAGTGATTCTTAACTGGAAAAACTGCTCCACCCACAAGAGCGTTTAGCAATGTTTACCAAAAAAATTGGCAACATGATTTTAGAGTGATGCTAGCTACTGGTGCATCATGGGTACTGTTAAGCATTCTGAAGTGCATACCATTCCTCCCTCTAAAGCATACACACACCAGAACTATCTGCTCCAACTGAGGTGTTAAAGTTGGTAAACCCTGCTTTCATTTCTGGACAGTTCCACAGAAAGAGCGAGTAGTATTGTGTTACTGGCTAACTCTGATTAAGAATTCCTTGGTGCTGTCTTCGTTCTGCCACCTGTGAAGACAGCATCTCATTTAACTGTCTATCCGCCCAGGCCCACTGGGATCTCAGGGTTTTTAAAGACCTTCTATGAAGATCAGTAATGAGGCAGTTATAAGGGACAGTCATGAAGGGCTTTAGCCTGTTAATAAAAGGTACACCTTATGTGTTTATGGCTTATTAATAATAATTGTGTCATTAATACATTTTTAAAAAATCCCTGTGATCGTATCATAACCCCCCAAGACCCTTTGGAGGTTCTCTATAACCCTTGTGATCTAGATGTGTTACACTTACTGTCTTTGATCTCTGCCTACCTCTTCAGCCTCAGTGTGCCCCTTAGAACCTATGATCCTGCAACAGTGAAATATTTCAGTGTTTTTAAAGAAGCCAGTCTCCTCTCCTCTCTGAGATTTGGCAGAAATTTGGCTTATTCTTTAGCTTCCACATAAGATGCCCTATTTTTGCGAGGCCTTCCATGATTATCCTAGTGTTTATTTTCCTCCTATATGGACTGGCTTACCTAGACCTCTTTAGCATCCATCACATACCTAAGCATTTCTTTCACTAGCCTGAGCTTTTCCATGTCAGGAACTATTTTTACAGTGTTCAGTGTTCTATCCCCAATACCTGAGTGCTTGGCACACAAGAAGTAGTTTTTGAATGAATGGATAGAAGATGTAGCGATATGATTGTCTTTGCCGGCTCCTGCTTGCTGCCTCTTTCCTTCTTTCCTTTCTTTGTCTCATGAGCTAAAGGCTCCCTAGTGCAATTTTATATCATTTATTTCATTTAGCTTTTCCTCTTGCTGCTGTGGAAATCAAAGCCTGGCAAAGAGATGGAAATCAGTGCCTTTAGGGTGTTGCACAAAGCAATGAAGGGATGGTTTCTGGAGACTATGGAGAAAGACTACCCCAGCTGAGTTTCCTTTCAAAGAAATCTCTTTTGCTCTCATCCTAGATAGTACAGTTATGTTTTTGGGTGGGAGTGTTGTTGCTATCAGATGCCTCTGGCACCTCCTTTGTCTAATGTTGCACAGACTCAGGGTCCATGGATCTGGTGAGCAAGACTAGTCATTTTAGGGTCCATGGATCTGGTGAGCAAGACTAGTCATTTTAGGGTCCATGGATCTGGTGAGCAAGACTAGTCATTTTAGGGCCCATGGATCTGGTTAGCAAGACTAGTCAGTTTAGGGTCCATGCCTGAATATTTTGCCTACTGGCTAATGAGGCTATTCAGAAGTCACGAAAATATGACAAGTACTAGTCACGGTTGTAAACAAATAACCTCTTAGCAAAATTATTTCTCTGCATGAGGAAGCTCTGCCACCTTGGAACGGATGGATAGTGCTCACTTGCAAGGGGGAACCAGAAAGGAAATTTTCAAAAGAAGGCATAAATTGCGGTATCTTCCTGGGTTACAAAGAATCTTCTTATTTGACAGAGATAAAAAATTGGGGCAGGGCTCTTAATGCAGTGATCCCCATATAAGGCTATTATAATAAGTATCATAGCCCAGGCTGGCCCAATGGCTCTCCTCTAGAGATGAATATAGTGTTTTTTCATTTGTGTTTTAATAAATAAAACTTGCCTGAAGATCAGAGAGTAAAACAGCCCCACTGGTCAACTTTACAGACCAGGCAGTGATAACACACACCTTTAATCTCAGTGGCCACACTAGTTTGCCATAGAAACTGGGTAGTGCATGTCTTTAATCCCAACCCTAGAGAGGAATATAAGGCTGGAGGAGACAGCTCACAGACACAGTCTCATTCTGAGATTTCTGGAGGCAGGATCGCCATTTCAGACTGAGGTAGAGGTAAGAGCCAGTGGCTGGCTGTTTTACTCTCTGATCTTCAGGCAAGCTTTATTTATTAAAATACAGATAGGCTGCTTCTAAGAGCCTCATTAATACCCCAGTCCATTTAGGAAACACATACAGGAAAGGATTTCTGACAACTTCTCAGGTGCTTGGTCCTAATCTGAACTTGATCCCTGTTTATCTCTGTAGGGGGCTTTGGAGTAAATCAAAGGTTTACTAGCAAATGGAAAATCAGTAGAAGAAATATCATCTGCTTTATTCCTAGATCCAATACTCATTCTTTTTTAACACTGACAATTAATAATTAATAAAGCAATTAGCATTTGTTAAGCAATTATTATGTGCCAAACACTGTCCTTGTATGTTAATACATACTTTATTTTTCATAATAACCCCATGGAGGAGGTAGAATTCTTACTTTCATATTATAGGCAAGGCAACTGAGAGATACTTTACCCAAGGTCATACTATTAGTAAGTAATGAGGCTGGGATTGAAACCTAAATGTATCTGCCTGACTCTGTTCTTCTCCATTTAAATGCCCTACAGCAATTTCATAAACATGCCATCAATATCCATATTACACATTGCTTAAGTCTCTGATAAAGAAGTTGTATTTGGGGCAACCAATGAGAGATAGCATTTCTCAGGGCCAGATTCCCAACAAATCGGAATAAGAGGGAATATATTTAAGGCAAGAGTTATTATTCTTCCATGACCTGGTCCTTAGTATGTGCTCAACAACTATTTTTTGAATGAAACAAATGACTTCACTTCCTGATTTGCTCTGAGCCTTGCTGACCATAAGGACTTTGAGGTGACCTTTAACTTCCCTACATGAATACACATTGCAGGGAGAACTCTTCTTAGTCCTATCAGCACAAATTTTTCTGCATAGTCAAAACATTAACAGGCCCCAGATGATCAGAGTCTACTGTCTTTAATTGCTATTATATTTGCAACCTCAAAATATTCTCCTACCCCCAAAATAAACACTATATTTAGAACACTTTGTAATAGTACCTTACTTATTAAAGAAAGAGGACAGAATTTGGTTCAAAACGCAGCTATTTCTTTGGTTGTTTCTGGTCAGAATTGACCTTGAGGAAGTCATATAACCTCTCTGATCTTCATTCTCACCTGTACTCTGTGAGAATGGAACTTTCTATGTGAGAAGGGTCTTTTGATATGGAGCATGCTAGTATTTCCCAAAGAAAATTAAGTAAGGCACTGACTCTGCTCATTCCCAAGCCAGCAACATTCACACTGTTAACGTTGTTATTAATAGTACGTCATGGAGAAGAAGAGATGTTGGATGCCAGCTATTGCTTATCCCCAGTTATAACCTTAAATCCAGGGTAGAAAGGGAGTAGCTCAGTGCGGAGCATGCGATGCATGGGAAATCGGGGCTTGGTGTCAAGCAGGCTCTCTTACATATCTCTTCACCTTGGGCAAAGAGGCCCTCGATCCAGAGCTCTGGGTTGTCATGGTGAGGACAGTGGTGATGCCGAGGCCTACACGGGCAGGGGCAGCATCCATGTTGATCCAGAAGGAGACCCAGGACAGGATGACAATGAGTAGGCTGGGAATGTACATCTGAATCAGATAGTAGCCCATCTGCCGCTCCAGGTGAAACTTCACTTCTATGCAGGTGAATTTTCCTATAAGAAAGAAATGAAGTATTAGGCTCTGAGTCCCCAGACTGCAGCTTAGCCTGAGGGAGTGTGGGTCAGGAATAGGGCAGCTCTGCTGAACCAACCTCTGGGATCCTCAGCTGGCCAATAAATGATACTTTCAAAATGGCCCCAGGTAATGCCAGATACTGTACTATGAAGGCTCTCAAATCAGCCATAAAGATTGCCTTCTCGCTCCCGGAATTTTAGCATAGAGCATAAGATCTTTCAAGTAACAATTCCAGAAAGAGGATGAAGAATAAGAGGGCTCCAGACTCAGACTCTCTGGGGTTGAATCTCGGGTTTTTGCTTAATAGCTATGTGATCTTGAATAATTCACCCAAGCCTTTTGATTGTTACGCCTTTTGTTTTTGAGACAAGGTCTTTTTATGTAGCCCAGGGCAACATCAAATTTGGAATTCTCTGCTGTACCACCATGCCAAGTTCCACCCAAGCTTTTTGAGCTAGTTTCCTTGCCTGGAAAGCAGAGTAATTAGCAATATCAACTCCATTATTGGGCTGTTAGAAAAGTTAAATGAAATACTGTAGTCGAGGTGCTGAGCACAAAAGCTGTTTCTACCATTAAATCATCGTTATGAAGGAACTAGTTTGGACGTCATTTATATCTCACCATCCTTCCTTGTACTTGCTCATATCCCGGAATCTCTAGCAACAGCTGGAATAAACACTCCCTGTGTCTTAAGCAAGTGAGAAGAGCAAGCTAGTATACAGTGGGAAAGGATTTGCAACAGAGATCAGCTCTGGATACTGGAAAGCAGGTTCCCATAGAGGATAAGGAAGCACTATGCTGTTTCACCATAAAAAATGCATTGGTTCTAGGCACATATCTCAGTGTTCTTCCTTTTTGCATGCCAGCCCTCTTTAATTTAGCCTGCTTCCCACGACTCTGAAGCTAAGAAACATTCATTAGCAGCTTTTCTCAAAACTAGAGACTTGGGATAACACAAGAGGAAAAGCAGATTTGTACAGCCATCTCCATATTCACTGGGAGATGGCTTTCAAGACACCCCCCACAGATACTAAAATCTGTAGCTACCCAAATCCCTTATAGCAAGTGACATCACATTTGTATTTAAATGATACATACCCTTCTATATATTCTAAATTAGATCTGTATTATTCATTTTAAACATGTGTGTGTGTATGTGTGTGTGTGTGCATCATATATGTTGAAGTTGGAGGACAACCTTTATTAGTCAGTTCTCTCCTTCCACCATGTGGAACTGGTGGGAACTGAACTCAGCTCATCCTCTGAGCCGTCTTTTCAGCTCTAAATTACTTACGATATAACACAATGTAAGTTCTATGTCAGTGATTGTTATACTGGATTTTTAGGTACTAATGATAAGGAAAAGTCCATATCTGTTCAGCACAGATGAAATTTATTATTAATGCTTGTGTTCTGAGGTTGGATGGACCCTTAGTCATAGAACATGTGAACATGGAGAACCAACTCTGTGCTTTGATGTTATTCTGACTAAGGCTTAACTCCTATCTGATTACTCAAGACCAGTGATTTGAACTGCTACTGCTTCGGGCTTTGGCATGCTCTATGATTCTATGACCTCCTACTCATTCCTGAGCTCACCGTGGGCTTCTTCCTGTGACATGCCTTTATTATATATTCATATTCTCTTCCTGTGCTTTCCTTCATTTTCTATTGTAATAATAGTGTGGGTTTTAATTATAAGATTAACATTTGTTTAATATAAAAGAATAAGAGACAGAATAACATTCTTAAGCTCATATTTATCAAATCACTACTAAGTGACTGGAGTTTAATACTTTAAATCCTGTAGCACTTTTTGGGGGTGGGTAAAATGGTTATCTCTCATATTACAGATAAGGGTACTAAAGCATAAAGAGATTAAACTCAATTTCTCAAGGGTACCCAACAGTATTTAAAGAAGCTAGACTCTAAACTCAGGTTTATATTACTGAAAAGTTCTTGCTTTATACATCTGCTTTAGAAATATTTAGTAGTAGTATTTCCTTTCAGAGTTTTTAAATACATATTTTTGCTTTATTTTTATCACAGTATAGCCATGTTTTTTACGCAGCATTATATCGTATCCCTTTTGTAGTTTGTGCTTTCCCATGAAGATCTAAGAACTGTGAAAGTATGACGCATACTATTCTACCATGACGGCATACTGTTTTACCATGACGGCATACTGTTTTACCAAGTAGGCACACTGTTTAATTTACTTCTACCCTATGGGTGGATATTTAGAGTAATTCCACGTTTTTGTTAGCACTAAAAGTGGCAGAGAAACCTTAGTGACTAAAGCCAGTGAGATATTTTGTAATGTTTTCCTAAAATACATTCTAAGGGTAGAATTCTTGTATTAAATAAGTAGGGAAAAATTAGCTTTAGACTAACATTTCTCAAAATATAGTGTTTCCTGAACTATCTGTATTACAGGCCTCATGATACTTGTTAACATGCAAATTTCTAGACATTTCCTCTAGTATATGTGATCAGAATCTCAGAGTTAGCGCATAAGAATCAGTGTTTTTAAAAGACTCCCAGGCGAATATATTGAGTACAGAAGCTTGAAAACAATTCCCCTACATACAAACTGCCATTCTCCCACCCAAGTTTCTACCAGTTTCTAGCTGTAGTTTCTGAATTCAAGGACCTGTTCCTCCCCCGCTCCCACACAGCTAAGTTGCTAAAGGATATGAAGAGCCAGCAACTCTTAAGAAAACCAAAGGATTGAGCTGTCCAGTCAGAAAAAAAAACAAAAACAAAAACAAAAACAGTTCCTCTCCATTTCCCATGTTCCACATTCAGGAAAAGAAGTTAGCTGAGGAGAGCCAGGCAGTGGATGTGACTGCAGAAAGTGTGCCTGGTCAGCTGCCTGCTCCCTCTGGCCTGGCTCCTCTCTATTTGTGCACAGCTCTTGACACCTCCTAAATGTAGACTTCCCAGCTTCCACAGGAAATTGGCCCTAAGAAAAATGAGACCCTTTGGCTGCTCATTGTCACAGCCTCTTCACTCTGCAGCATATGAGAGAGATACAAGCATGGGGTTTGGGATTGGATCTGGATTTGAATTTTAAATTTGACATCTTGTAATTGTGTGACAACTGATTCAAACTCTACCCCCTTCATATCCTTCTTTTTAAAATTTATTTTACAGTTATTCATTTTTTCTACATGCATATGTGCAAGTATGAGCATGTCTCAGTGTGTGTGTGGCGGTCAGAGGACAGCTTGTAGGAGTCAGTTCTCTCTTTCCACAATGTGGGTTCTGGGGATGAAACTCAGGTTGTCAGTTGACCTGCTGAGCCATCTCTCTAGCCTTTCTGTGTTCTCTTTATGAAAGTGACGCTGACGGCCTCTGCCGCAGTGAAATAAGGTATAAGAAGCGTGTAGCATCATATCTCTTCTATTCTATTGAGCCTCTAGTGGGACCTGGTTGCCTTGTTCCCTTGTCTCTCATTTTGAGACCTTCTAGTGCCTTATAGACAATAAACACCTGCCTGAGTCTTACCTGTGTTGTAGTGCTTGGTACAATAACCTAGATCCTTCTCGTCCCGCAAGATAAATTGGGGAAGAGTCAACCCGTCAGCCACTTGGACAGCAGGAGCATCTTCTAGCCACTCAAATACGAGGTCATTCATCGTGTAGCCAACTGCAAGTGGCAAAGGTATCAAAGAACTTCAGAGTGCATGTTTTAGGTGAGGACAGAGGTGGAGTTAGTTAGCAAGGGTGCATAGTTGGGAAACAAGGTTTGGGGTTTAGAAATGGCACTCTAATCTTGGAAAAGGGAATGTTTCTGAAGAGGGCATTTCCTCAATTGTCTCACGGGCTTGAACTAAATGAGCAAGTCAGAAAGATCCTAGATTACCCTACTATGTACGTCTCAAGCTTGGTAAATACCTAGAGAGAAATTACTCTGTTAGACTTAGGATATAGGCCAAGAAGTTTGGAAAGATGTCAGGGACCCCAGCTGGGAACCTCCTGGCACTTCTTAAACCCAGAGGAGTAAGCATGTGTACCAAGCACATGTCCTGAGCTGAGCCTCGGAGCCAGGGCTTCTGCCGCTTCACCTCAGGGAAGAGAGAGCTATTTCTGTCCCTCCAGTCATGCATGGGAGAATGTGGTCACAGACTCCTAGCCAGGGACTTGAATTGGAAAAAACTGAGACTTAATAGCTGAGCATGCCAAATTGCTCACAGATTACTGGCAGCACATGAAGACTCCTGTCACAGACATGACTGTGTTCTCACATGTAAGGGCCGACTGAGGGTTACCATATCTAGAGAGGCGTGCTGTAGCTCTGTGGCTTCAGATGGGTCATCTCAGACCAAATTCCCACAACATCTACTCTTCTGCCAAATGAGGCTAATAAAGGCTCCTCCACCAGGTTTTAAAATTGTGAGGGATGATGGGAACCTGCCTGGAAAGATGGCGTATGAATTCTAGACGGTGGACCATGGGGTACTTTCTTTCCATCACTATTCCCATGTGCTACAAACAGTGCAACATGTTTTCTTCTCTGAGCGATGTCTCCTGATCTCAGGTTTATCTCACCCAGGTGACAGATGAAGAGTGAAAGTAAATGATGACCTATCCTTGCCATCTTTTGGCTTTCTGCACATTTGCCTGCCCATATAGGTTGACACCTTTGCATAGAGGACCGTGGCTGACTTGGCCACTCTACACACTGTCCTGTGTGCCTGAAGCTGCCGCCTCATTCTTCGTAATCACTTTCTGTGTTCATGGAGAATCAGAGCTCCTAGTGTATCTCTATCTTGCCCCAAGCTGGCATATATGGGCATCTTCAGTGTCTTAATCCTGGGAGGGTCAAGGTAAAGCTACTTCAGGGACTGCAGGAGGAAATGGGAACAGGGGAAGCACCCTTCAGAGAGTGCCCATGGCCATTTGAAGCACGTTTCTTCAGAAGGCTGGGAGACATTATGTTGCCCAGCTCTATGGAATAGTCAGCCCAGAAAGTAATGTGGGAACATAGAAACCACACTGGGCTAGGTGGCAAGGAACCTTGGCTTCTAGTCTCATTCATGACAAGAATTGATGACGTGTGCTTGAGTAAGCCCCTTCCTGTCTGAAATATCATTGGAGGATATTGACTAGCTGTTACTCTAGGCCTTGTCTTGCTGTTCACTAGAGACACTTACAGCTTTCCAGCTGCATTGTGCAGGTCTGGATGTCCATTGGGAAGTTCTTGAGGTCCATTGGGCAGGACAAAATGAGGGTCAGTCTGGTGGGACAGAAAAAGTATGTCAGTTTACTGGGCTGGCACATTGTATAGCACGAACCATCTTCCTACTCTTGTATCTCCATCTGGCTGCTGCTGCTTACTACAAAGTCCCCTTGCTATATACTAGGTGCACCTGATGCTGTAGAGCACATTCCCATTCTTGAAGATGCGTAGTAACTTGTTGTCTGTGGTCACCTCATGGAAGTTGGCCCCTTTCTCATTGGCAAAGAAGAGGTCTGGCTTCCAGATAGAGTCCAGCATGGAGGGGTCTAAGTCCAGAGAGTCATCAGGATATTCTCGGTAGGCCAGACGTGGGTCATTCCACTGTTGCCGTAAGAAGACATTTACCCGGTAGTCCTGGAAGGGTGGCAAGGAGGGCCTATCAGAGGCGGTGGTCCAGTAAGACCAGCATGAGCAGAAGGGTCATGAGGAGGAAATGCTGGAGATGCAGCTTGGGGCGAGTAGATATTTTCCAGTGGAAAAAGCCCACTTTGGCCAAGTATGGCAAAGATGGGAAGGAAAATCCATTCATTTAAATGTCTATTATATACCAGACTCTCAGCTAAGTGCTTTTTTTTTTTTTTTTAGGACTGGAGATTGAACCCAGGTTTGTGAGCATGCTAGGCAAATACTGTATCACCCAGCCACTTCCTCGGCTCTAAGTGCTTTCCTTATAAGCATCGTCTTAGTTAAGCCTCTCATTTTTCTTGCATAGAGAATGGTTTCATGATCTGCACTTTGCATATGGATAACAAAGACCAGGAAAGATTGAAGTCAACTTGCTTAACATGTCGGTGGCAGAATTAGAATTTGAACTCAGGTTTTCCTGATTCAAAAGCCTGCACTCTGCATTGGGTTACTTCACATATTTGATGAACTGTTCTTTGACGAGTTTGCCTTTAGTTAGGGGCAACTAAGAGTAACCTCTCAGTCATCAATTCCAATCTCCTGTGGCTTAAGCTGTGATCACAAAGCAGGAAGAGGGCAATAGAAAGGAAATGCCTGCTATCTGGTGAGCTTCTCCCATTCACATGGGAATGGAATTGGGGAATGGGAAGACCCCTTACCATGGTGGTTTCAGTGACGGAGCCAAAACTGTTGATGAAGATGTTGCAGGTCACATTCACAGGTGGGCCTAAGGGTAGCAAAGCACAGCCCATTGGCAGGGCATTCCAGAAAGCTGAGCCCAGGTTCCAAAACTCCCACTCCGAGCTGCAGATGAGCTCACTGCTGGGAAAAGACTGACAGCTACCTGGACCCAGAGGCAATAGGGAGCAGAGGCTCTTTCTGAGCTCTGAGATCTAGCCTCAGACTTCCAGTCTTCTTCCTTAAGGCTGACCACCAAGTACTAGCTAAGCAGTGTGCCACCCGAAGTAGTAAGCATGGAGGAGATTTTAGTAGATGGATGTTTCTTACCTTTGAAATTGGGCCTAATCCTGGCATCATATCCAGATGTTCGTCCCATCAGCTTATCCAAGAAATCAGAAGGGGACATGAGCTGGGACCCTTTGGGCCCAGATTTGACATCCTCTTTTGCCAAAGCCACACTGGGGAACAGGAGAAGAAAAGAAGTTTGAGGATAGTTGTTTCCTACATTTATCACAGAATTTGCTTTCCCATCTCCACCCCCCTTTGGTGAATCTGCCCCTCAGTCAGGAACAGAAGAGAATGGGTCTCTGGTGTACTGAATGAGTAGACAACCAGTTATGAGCTAACGTGGCTGCCCAGCAATAGTCCTGGGAAATGCTTTCCCACAGATGGTATGTTTTCGCACTTAATTCTCAATAACATGGCATTAGGCCTGTTATTTCCAATTTACAGGTGAGAAAACAGGCTTGAAAGGTAGTTACTTGCCCAAAGTCTCAGAACTTCTGAGTGACGTAGTTAGGACTCAAACACTGGACTAAGAACCTATTAGTGATCTTTTCCTGAAGGAGCTTTGAACGCAGTCAAAGAATAGCATCTCACCGATGTGTTGCTAATGTAGCCTAGCCAAGGATTGGAGGGGCTTTAGGACAAACAGCTTCCCTGAGAGCTGGTGTCAGTTGCTTGGGCTTGCTGTGAGATTTGCAGGACTTGGGACCCAGCTTCTGTTGGGGGTTGGGGGAGGCTTGGTTTGTGCCATTTTCTTCTTTTTTGCCTAGCAAGAAGCTATGTTTAAGTATAGGGTCGTGGCTACTACAGGCAGGTGAATATGATAAATAAACAGTAATCTGTCACCATGGGAGAGTTTCCAAACAGAGTGATCATATTGAGGTAAATTCCCATCTTTCTCTACCTCACAGCTTGCTTTGGGGGAAAATGTCACTATGATAGAATCTAGCCTCTTTCTTTGGTCAGTTTTCCTCCTAAGAGAGCCAAGGAGCTAGATCGATGGATACAGTGCTTGTTGCACAGGCACAGGGAACAGCACAGAGACCCCCAACACCCAGGAAACGATCTGGTGGGCATGGAAGCACCCTTGGAATCCTTTCCCTGGGGAGTCTAGCTCTCCTGTGGCAAGCTGGATAGGTAGACAAGCTGAAACTGGCTAGATATGGGTTCAGCAAATGACCCTGCCTCAATATATAAGATAAAGAATGATCGAAGAAAACATATGACGTCAGCCTCAGGCCTCTACACATGTATGCACACATGCATGTATACCCACACATATTTGTGCCCACACATGTGCAAACACTTATACACACATAAACACAAGTTTTCTTCTAGGAGCAGAAAAGCCCTTCCATATAACCGTTTACTTGTGTACTAGCCAACACATAGACTAAGGACCAGGGACTCAGCAAAAGCCGAGCAGGGGTAGATGTCATGACTGAACTCAGGCCAGACTCCTGGCTAGAGCAGGTACTTTATTGATGCATCTTACTGCCATCCCCACAGCTGCCACGGGTGCTGCACTGTGGGACTGAGCATCAGGGTGACAGCTGCCTTTCTGTGTCCTAGTCTCATTTAAGCCAGTGGCTCCCTTTCCCCAATAAGTCTGTGTTCTAGTCAGTGATTGATAGACTCATTAAAGGGTCCAAGGCACCATATTAAATGCCTCATAAGCCTTATCTAGGTTAATTCATACCAGTCCTCCCTGATTATCTCTTACAACTGGCTCTCTATATCTAAGGGACATTGGTTCTAGAACCCCTTTGTAGGTAATCAAATTTTCAGATGTTAAAACGGTATAGTCTTTGGATATAACCTGTGAATATCTTCCTGTATACTAGTAAATCATTTCTGGGTTCTTACACCTGATGCACCGTGAATGTTATACACATAGTTGTTTAGAGAATACAGACAAGGAAAATCCAAATCAGACCAGCAGAGGTACTATTATATATTTTGTATCTGTGATACTTGAATCTTAAGATTTGGAACTGATGGATATGAAAGTCTGACTGTACATAGATCGGGAGATAGGGGACCAATAAGGGGAAGGTGAAGTGACTTCTCCAGGAGCCTACAGCTAGTGAATTGTAAAGCCAAAATTCAGAGCCAGAGCCAGTAACTTCAAGCCTCAATGTGTCGGTCATAGAACTATTACAAGGCAAGTAGCCCAGAATGATCTATCAAAGAACCAGAGTGAGGAACAGTCAAGACCCGTCCTACCATGACTTCCTAGACTTCTGCCTTGAATCCCCAAAGCAGGCAAGAATCCCTTGCCCTGGAGACAGAGGCCACCCTGGCCCCTGGCAGGAGCAGCCAGAGCAGGTGGCTTAAGCAGGCTGGGGAAATCCAAGGAGGTCGGTAGTAATGCTGGGCAGGCAGAAGTCGGCGCCTTCACCACAGGATGTCCACACTAGCCAGGTGCGCTCTGCTGCTGCTGCTGTTGTTGCTTCTGTTGGCCATCTGCCACCTGCCTGCTGGGAGGGCATATGGCCCTGCCTATAGAGCAGCCAGACCTCTCTACTGTCCTCATCCTCACTCAGGTCACTTCCACTAGGCCCTGTCCTAGAACTCTAGGATAGGCTATGAATCTTCTGTCTTTCGTTCCAAACCTGTTTTGGTCCCCCATCTCCTGAGATCACCTTATTTAAGGAAACAAGACCAAGAGTTACTTTGTGAAACCACTCTATCCACTTTTTCACTCCTGAAAGTTCGCAAACACTGGCAGGAGATAGACAGGTCAAGAACTCATACAAGGCCCTTGGTTGGTGTAAGGAGAGAACTTTGACTCAGCTCCTGCGTGGCTGAGCAACCTTGAGCAGGTCACTGCCCTTCTCTATCAGCTTCCATCCATACAGTAAATGGCTTGAACTTAGGACTCTTTAGAGCCCCTCTTCCTCCAATGACCTCCAGTTTCTGAGTACACATGCTGCTTCTACCGCTTGTTCGTGGATCTTGAGGCAACCTGCCCTCGACTAGGGTCAACTCCATGACCCCTTTTCTGTCTGTCATGTCTGTATCCTTTCAGCTCCTCGGAGCTGCCATTCCACTCTGAGCTGCTTTCACTTCCACACATACTGGCTCCCTTTACACCCCTTCCTGCCTGCCATTGACTGTGTCCACAAGCAATGGTGCAGAAAGCGAAATGCCCCAGGCCACCCCTTGGGTGAAGGGGCAGAAGACACTGCTCGGACACTCTTTCCACTTTGTGAGCTATTCCTTTGAAGAGCAGTTCAGCCAAGCCATAGGCATCATTTCTACCCAGTGTACCCTGTCAGCCTCGACTAGCTCTTGTGATAATGGGCAGGGGCAAATGCTCAGGGGACGTTTACAAGGAGCCCCAAGAATTCCTTGCTTGCAAACCCAGGGAATGACTGCTACCTGGTTCCTCTAAAAGGACAGTGAGCAGCCATGTATACAAGGGCAGGGAGAGCTCAGAAAGCTAAGGTTCAGGTAGCCCAGCTCCAGCCTGCAGGGATCCTGTCGCAAACCTGTGCCACCTGCAGCCTCATTGGCAGGCATCTGACAAATGTTCCTGTCATTTTAGGGATCCAGCTGGCAGGGAGATGATAGGGTTCAGATACAGGACAAGCGACCTCCATTTTAGAGTTTAGGACTCAGCTACCTAGCCCCTACCCATGCTCATGCAATTCATTCATTCACACAGAAGACGCTCCACCCGCACTGGGGCCCTACATCTGTACTGGACAGCTCCTGGGTCCTGACTAAGGAGGGGGTGTCCTCCCCTCATGCCCTCCTGACTTTTTTTTTTCAAACTTAGAAGAAAGTGTGCCAGCTACCCCGTCTGTTAGCACCAGCCCCCAGTTAGTGTTTGCATGCACCTCCTTCTCACCCCCACTGAGCTCACCTGAGGAGGACCTTCCCTGGCAGGGTCCAGAGAAGAAGGAAGAGGGTTGCAGGAACAAGAGTTGCCATTCTGCAGGGACCTTGGAGTCCTTTCTCAGCCTGGCTGCCAAGGTGAGAGCAAGTATTCCTGTGGGAAAGGCAACAGTATAGAGCCCCTCTCCAGCTTGGGCTAGAATAAGGAGCCTGTGTGGCTGGGTTAGGAGTTGAGCCCTCTTTCCTTTCCTGCCTCTTTTCTACCCTGTCCTTAGCAGTCAGGGTCTAGAACTAGTCCCCTGGAACTGAACCTGACACGAAAAACCCTACCAGCTCCAGCTCCGGCTTGCACTTGTCTTGGACTGAGGAGGGCCTCAGCCTGCCGGTCAGGGAGCCAGAAAAGATTCTCTTTGGGTAGCAATCACCCTGCAAACCCTGGAGAGTCTTGGAGGGGAGGGAGGGAGGGAGGAGACGAGTAGAAAGATGTTTCCCTCCCTCCCACATCCCCCTAGATGCACCCTCCGAAAGCAGCAATTTAAAGGCACAGTCGCCAGCAGCTGGAGTGGGGTTCCCAGCTTGTCTGAATACTGGGGAGGAGCTTGGGATGCTGAGCTGCCGCTTGGGGAGAGTCTGAGGTGTCAGGTCCAGCCTCCAACTCTCCAGGAGGAATGCACACATAGGCGCCTTGTTACCCCTATGCCCAACAGCTTTCTCTTCAGCCTGGAGCCAAGACAGGGCACTAGAGTAAAGTCTCAATGCTTTTTCTAAGGGGAAAAATACCCCACAGGGGTCACGGGGGAGCACCAGGGTATCCTAAAAATGTCAGCTTCAGGTCAAACAGGTGTAGAGGGGTTAACTACAGGGGCTGCTTCTCTCTACCCTCTGGATGGAGGCACAGAGCATGGCAGCCCACAGCCTGCCCCTCTCTCTCTTTCTTCTTCCCCTTCAGCCTGGTACCTATGTATTCTCTCTCCTGCTTGGTTTCCCTCCCTCAGGTAATCTTTGTGGAGCCTGGCACCTGTTTGAGCTCTCAAAATCCTTCCTCCTCAGTATCTATCTCTAGGCCTGCTTGTGGGAAGGACAACTGTCCTGGGTGGAGGTAAAGGACAGCCTGGCTGGGGCATTGACTTTGTAAGCTTTAGAGAAATCTGAGGTGGGAACGACAAGTCTAGGAGCTCCACACCCCTGGGTGGAGGAAGAGAGAGTGTGACCTAGCTTCTTCCCTGGCTTTCTGCACATTTGCCCTTGCCATCCAGATACATAAGGAGCTCCATTTTCTCCTGTCTGCCTGTTTGTCCGGTTTTCCCCATGCAGTGTCTAAAGAAAAGCAGGGACTTCTAGTGCCGTTCCCTCCCTGCTCCCCTCCCTTCTCTTCCTCTCCCTGAACTTTTCCATCATCCACCTTTTGTTCCATCTTAGTTTTCCTCTCTTCCTTCTCTGTATCTCACCTCCTATGTCAGTCTACTCCTCCTTCCCCTTCTCTTTCGTTGTTTTCTTTCTCTAGCTCCCTTGTATCTTAAGTCTCTCACACTCTCTTCTTACATTATAGCAGTGAAAATCCAAAGACTTGCTTTTCGTTAGTGGAAACTCTCCTCCCAGCTCTGCAGAGTTTAGGTGCATGCTGGGGAAGAGATCAGTGCTACTTTATACTGATCAATTTGTCATCTGCCTGGCCGTAGCCTTTCCAGCCTCTCCAGAAGGAGATTTGGGAAGATTGGATGCTCTTGCCAGAGGGTCCTATTCCTATATAGGGGGATTAATAACAAGGCATTCGTGTATAGAGCGTGCAACAGCTCCCTTTTTTTGCTGTGTTATTATTAAGGAGGAGGATTTTTCAAATTACAGATGAAAGCCAAAGAAGAGAATTTTCAAGAATAAATGCTGAAATATTGATGAGTGAGCCGAGCTTTTGGAATTGGGACTGAGAATGTTATATGCTTCAGTGCTTATATGGTAGGTAAAAGCAAAATACTAATCACCCTGGTAGCATCTTTAGCCACCCTTTCACCTGCTCACCCTTCCTCCTTGTTTCTCTTAAGCGTCACATAACCCACTTTTAGGCAGGAACAAAACCTGGAACCTTTCAGGGCAGAGCAGCCGGCTGGGAAGCTGAGAACAAGGTTGCACTGGTCCTCCTTTGTGTAACTTCCCCAGCCTCTGACAACCCTGAGCCTGTCTCTTCCCTTGCCTCAACAGTACCCCCACTGCTCTCAGGTTGCGAGACAAGACCCTATAAAATTATCTAGTCATAGTTTTCACTTCACTGATTTGTCTAACACTGTTCTGTCTTCTCAGTTGGGGGCATATTTTCACTGGTTGCCTACCAAGTATTCTTCCCTGTAGTCTTACCCATCTGCACTTAGGTGTTCTTGTTGCTTTGTCAAGCAAGACATATGGAACCACCGTCATTGCCCCTAGGTTTGAGTTAGGAGACCCTTTGCGCATTCTCTAGGGTCCCTCTCCCTCCATCTCCTCAGCATACCACACTCGCTGATTTCCTTCTCTCTCCCCCACTCTGTCAAGAGCTCCCCGAGAGCAGAGACGCATTATCTGCCAAGTCCACGGCACAGGAGAGGCAATTAGGGAACACATTTTAAAAGATGCACCCTTGGCACCCAGATCCTCAAGTTTACCACCTATGAATCATTCTCTGTCAAGTTAGAATGGTAAGTTCAACATCCAGAGAAAGGACCAGCGTGAGGCAATGGTGAGAAGGAGAAATGAGGAAGCAGGTTTTATTCCCTTGCCCCTTGGGCCCCTGGCCTCACAGTCAGTCATCTGGAATTCTTGGCTAATGGAAGGCTTAGTCCCCTGGGGACTGATCCATTGTTGCAGGTCTCACCTCCTCTGTGCCTCGTGGGATCCCTGCAAGCTAAAAGCGTGGCAGGGTCAGCTTCCTGGGAGGACAGGGTCTTTCTCATGAGAGGCTGCAGCAATGAGCAAATGTCTGGCTGGTCTGATGAAGAGGTCCAACCTTCCGAGGGTGCCCAGGGGCAGACTCTGAATAAAGAAGGAAGCTGCTGCTGCTTGGCATTGGCAAGAGTCAGCTGAGATGTTAATTTTGAAATTTACTGTATTAAAAGGGAAGCGGTTTCTCTGAAATGATGGTGGGGGAAGGGTATAAAGTTGTGTCCAGCCTTGACCTGTAGCTGTTTTGCCTTTTCACTACCACACTATGATGCATACCAATCTCCACATTCCAAAGAGCACTCTATCTTTTCCAGTTTGGTGACTGGAAGCTACTTTCGCATGAAAACTGGCTTTTGTGCATTGCTGAGGTGGTATAGAAGTTACAATAAGCAATGTGTTTTTCACATTTTGTCTTGAAAAAAATCACTTCTTGAAGTGTAGTTTTATAAGTGCTAAAAGTGCAATAAACACATTTTCACAAATGTTTAGTTCCACAAAGGGGAACCACCAGTTTCAGTCCTATCCAGTGAAAATTGTAGCTGTACCCTGGTGACCAGCAGACTTCCAGAAACTTCATGCAAGCAGCAGCATTTCATTATTAGAATGGGTATTATTTATAAATTCTGTGCCTTCTGGGCTTCATTTGGGAAGGCAAAAATGGAGAATGGTTTGGCATAACTTCCTGGACCTATCCCAATAACTGTGGATGTTGTGGTCCTGATACTGCCCATCGGAGTGTTTCTGTTAGATCTCCAAGGAACATGGCTACATTATTTTTCTGTATGTGAAATTTTCTTTTCAGAATCATTTTTAACTTTCCGGAATGTGATAGTTTACGTGAAAGGAGGAGTTCCACTTGGTGCTTGGGAGCTTTGGCAGCAGAGTCAGGAGGCCATTTAGCCCTCCACATATTGGAAGACTATGGCAACGTGGTATACACTTTTTTTAAAATATTTATTTATTTATTACGTATATAATATTCTGTCTGAGTGTATGACTGCAGGCACCAGACCTCATTACAGATGGTTCTGAGCCACCATGTGGTTGCTGGGAATTGAACTCAGGACCTTGGAAGAGCAGGCAATGCTTTTAACCACTGAGCCATCTCTCCAGCCCCCTAAGACTATGGCAAAGTACAGCATCAAAGATGCTGGGATTCTCACAGTGCTAGATTCAGGTGGGGCAAGGGAGAACAAAATTGTACATGTTGCATGTGTTCATCCAAGCTTTAGAGAGTGATTGGTTCAAGTTTGATGCTTCAAAGATTTGACCTGCTTTTCATGAAACATTTCAGGCATGGCCTTTGCAGGACTAATGTGGGATTATAAGCTTCTGAGAGGCCGAGGTTAATGGAGATCCTTTCCATCTTCAAGGACAGGCCAGATCTCAGCACCAGAACAACATCATTGGGCAACCCTGTCTTTGTTGCTGGCTTCTTTACTCAGTGGCCAGACTAGAACAGTGTGCTCATGCTTTAGCTAGAGAATATGTATTGACGTGCACAGAGGTGTGCATAGAGGTGTGCACTGTCTCTCCCCCACTACATTCTCAGAATCATCATCCACTCCAGTATTCACTTGAGGGCAATTGACTGGCTGTGCACAAGTTTCATTAAGGTTTCCCACAGAGTTTGCTTTGATTCTCCTCAACTCTTGGCTTTTACAACTCCTCCACATTCTTGTTCAGAGTTGACTGTCATGACTCCCCTCGAAGCTAAGTCTTCTTTTGTTTGTGGCCATGCTCGTGAATATCTCTTATTCACTTGTTTGGACGTTGTTGATAATCTGTGGCTGTGGAAAGTGAGAAGCCCTTACATAGCAAAAGCAACAGAATTAAGGAAAGTATTTATTGTAGCAAATGGATTTCGTTTCTACTAGCTCATGCATGTGGCATGTGTTTCACAAGGGTGTATTGAGGGATAATCATATGGCGGATGTTCTAGATGCCAGAGACATGATAGTGATGTCTGTCCTCTTCTGTACCATGCATTTTAGTGGGTTAGTAATATAATTCCTTTCCAAGAGGGCTCCTGCGTGGATTATCAGGTACAGACCTGAGTGCCTCTCATAGCGTCTGAGCAGATTCCATATTGCAGGGCCTAGAAAACAAGCATCTTTTCAGCAGGCCGTAGTGAGCTTTATTTCCATCTATTGCAGGATCTACCTGCTCGTGATGACGTGCCTCATCACTCCCCAGACTCCCTGCCCAAGTGCTTATCCCCTAGTCATCCAGCCATAAACACATTCTCCTCACTGGGACAGTTAGGTGAGATTAGCAGCACTGTTCACCGTGGGACCTCTCTAAGTAGTTTCTAATCCTTTAGGATTGTGGTTGCCTTCCTTTCCTGTTCTTTTCCATCTTTATTTTAGTTTTTCTACCTTCCTTTCCCTTTTCATTTTGATTTAATTAAATGCCCACTGTTTTAGTTAAGACACCAGACACTGAAGCAACAACAACTTTGCTTGGTGACTATATAGAGCTATCTACAAAGTTGAATGCCAAGAGTTAGAAATTTGACTGAATGAACATTGGATTAGCCTAACCTTGAACTCCCATAGGGCTTGACATCTGTGCATGCACATATGTGTACATGCAGATAGCCTGAAGGTGATATTCCTGCTGCTAGCCATTATCATGTAAGAGCGACTGACTATAGCTGAAGAATTTGGATTTTGATAAGTAAACTTTTTGATTTCCTGCTGTGGTTTCTACATATACTGTGCTAATGAAGCCCTGTTAGCCAGGATAATTGGAATCCCTAGGTAAGGGGCAAATGGAACCACTTATTTTTGTACCAGGGATGATTACTCATTTTTGTGATGTTTGACTGCATATGGCCCCAAATAAAAAATTCTAATCAATATCAAGTACTTACCAAAGATGCTAATCAGATAACAGGCTGCTCCAAACCTCAGCAGGTCACACATCAGCGTTTGCTGCCACCTACTCCTGCAGTGTCAGCAGCAGCATCCTTCGACACTGGGTGTTGCTTTGAAAACTCTGACTTCTCTTTTCTCCCCATTGTCGGTTTCCTTCTGTAACCTTCACATTGCCTTTCTACCATGTATTACATCCCACGTGTTCTCTAATCCCCTCACTTTCCACAGCCGTGTGCCCACTGCTGAGTCAAAGGCAGGTGCTCTTCCACGACTGCACACCCAGTACAACTGCCTTCAATTATTGTCCAGTTTCAGGAGAGACAAATAGGATGCTGAGGTCTTAAGATTTTCAGGCAAGCAGTAGCACAGAGGCAGGAAATCTGCTCAGCCATTTCACTGTAAGCAAAGGGACTTGGGGGACCATGTGTTCTCCATGTATTTTGCCAGGTCTATCTATGAAATAGTAAAAGGGAATAGAAGACAACTGTTTCGAAAGCACACTGAGCAGGGATGAGCATTTTAGCCCTGCGGAGAAGCACCCATTAGGAAACCAGGAGTGAGAGCAGGGGAGTTCAGCCTAGGCGGGTGTGCTAGAAGGAGAGAATTTTCCTTGCTCTTTTTTTTTTTCATTTTCTGTTTTAATGGCTCTGATGCCAACAAAGTGCTTGCTGTGAATCCATTCAAGATGAAATAGCAGTCAGAGTAGAAAGCGGAAGTGCTAAGCCTCGGATTGGCATGCATGCCTGCGTTCTTAGCACTTGGGAGACAGCGGCAGCAAGAAAGCAGGAAGATAGTATGGCTGAGGTCAACCTGGGATACATAGAGAGGATGAGGCCAGTTTCAGCAGGGGAGCAAGACTCTGTTAACAAAGCAAAACAGATAATAAACATGTGCACAAACAAAACAAACCCCACAACAAAAAAATACTCCACCACCACCAGAATGCCAGGATCCAGTCTCCCAGAGAAGCTTTTAATCAATGCTGAAATGTTTGCTGTCTAGGGATTCTTCATTCATGAGTCATGCTATAGAATTTAGTCTACTGTAGCCTCTAATGACTCCAAAAGATGCTCCCTGTGACACTGTCCTGAGTGGATTGATTACCTTATCCTGTAGAGACGAAAAAGGAAGCAAAGTTATTATGAGAAGTTTCAGGCATTCAAATGGGCTTAAATTGTTAGAGGTAAGGAAGTCATTGTGCCAAGTTGGTGGGGTACAGAACAATTATCTAATACATACCCCACTTTGATTTCCCCATACATAGCTATATAATATTTACAAATTGGCAAAAAAAATCAAGATAGACAATAGAAGATAATATATAAAGCTATTCTGTAGCTTGTGACCAGGAAATATTTAGCTATCTAATGTTTAGTTCTGTGCTCTGTCTCTCCACTGCTCTGGACCAGCAAGCTCTTTCAGAGATGGACTGAATTCTTCTGATGCCCAGCGAGGGCTAAAGATAATCTTTTCATTAAGAAAATCAGGTAGTAGAAAATATAGAATGTTTGATTCCACCATACATCTCCTGTGGTCTCAGGAGGTGATAGGAAGTGGAAAAGAAACAGCATTCAAGTTTTGAAGGAGTCTAGAGCTACCCTGGAGGCTTTTGTACAAAGGAACTACACCTTCCAGCCTGTGTTCCTCCTGGAATGTGGTTGTAGAATAGGCCTTTTTCCCAAAAATCAAACAAGTTGCCGTGACCTCAGGAGGTAAAGACAGCCAGGCTTCACTAACTCTTCAAGGTCAAGTGAGACTAAACTGGATTCTTAACGTTTGCTTAAAGTATTACGGAGCAATAGCCAGAACCAGTGTTTGCTTCCTTACCAAACTTTGCTGTGGTTAGTGATGAAGTTGTCTCAATCCCAGTGAAGATATCCTTTCTTCCACAAGATAAACCATGAAGAGAATAACTTGTTTTTCAAAGGGGCTTATTTCTCTTCTTTTTGACATCTCCTCCCCACAGTGCTAGTCCCCTTCAGTCCTGCCTAGTAGCTTGCCTCATACTAACAGTGATCAGAAATGTCAGTAAAATTGACTGACCTCTTAGGTGATAGAGACATGCCTTCTAACTTCTATTTAATGGTTGAAACATTTTTTAGTGACGAATGGGGAGAAAAACTAATATTTGACAGAAGAGGATTTTTTTTCATGTGGCAAAAGAAGAAAAGCTAGACTTTCCTATACTCTTTAAAATCTTATATAAAAATCAAGTAAGATGGGGCCAGATCTTTAAGCTCAAATGCAAGTCCTTCTTTGTGAAGGCCACAGGTAGGACCAGTAGACTCACTGAGGTGAAAGGCTCAGGGTGACCCAAGGAAAGCTTCTCAACATAGTTTCATAATGAGGTGCCATACTCCACCCATAGTGGGCAGAGAGGCTCTTCTTTATCCCTAAGAAGTAAGCAACCTGTAGTGACGTGTTTCCTTCTCTAAGAGACAAGAAGTAGGTATATGATGTGGGGAACTGTTGAGTTCCTCGCTTTAAGAAAGCCCAGCCTTACTGGGCATGGTGGTACAGGCCCGTAATCCTACCATTTGGGGGGTAGAATCAGGTGGATCAGGAGTTCTAAGCCAGCTTAGCTATATAACAAGTTTGAGGCCAGCCTGGGCTACATGAAACCTTGTCTCTAAATGCACAAAGCAAAACAAACAAAACCCATCCTAACAGTTGGTAGATGGCCCGGTACCAGCAGATCCATTCTGTCTCTGGCAGAATGTAGCATCAGGAACTTTTCTGTATAGAAGGGATTCTGGCCATACAAAGTTGACCGCTGTGTGCTAGACACTTTATATGGTACTTTTGTAGTCAGCAATCATTTTGTTTGACTCCTAAATATCCTTATTCCTAGAAACAAGCTCAGAAATGGCCACTGACCATCTAGATCTTCTAGATAGGACTTTTGCCCCTACCAACTTGTCAAGTATATGTGGAAGTCTACGACCACCAAAACCTGGCTTATAGGGCACAATAACTGTAAGTATGTTGGGTGAATGGGAATGAGTGTTTGCAGGCACTGCCTGAAGAAAGAAGAGGCACACAGCTAGGGTTCCTCCACACCTTTTCCACTCTACTTCTATGCACTTCAGCAAAAGACCTGTTATTTTGTGCTGCTGCTGCTGCTGGTGGTAGTGGTGGCATTGGCCGCAGTATTTGTGGTTTTTGGGAGGGGTATTCTTTTTTTTTTTTTTACAATACTCTTTTTATTGGCCAACACATACTTCGAATAGTGCCAATTAATGCATTTTCTTTGACCCCCATTACTCTCATTAAATAAGTCAGAACACTATGTTCCTTAGTTCTCTTCAGAAAGTAGACAATGTGGCAGTCTTTGGGTAGCCTATTTGGGTTCAAATCTTTCTTTTGCTCTTTATTATGTGTCTTTTTACAATAATTTTAACTCTCCTAAGTTTCTGTATTCCTAGTTTTTGTCTTGTTTGTTTTGCTTTGTTTTTAGACAGGATCTTGCTATGTAGTCCATGCTGCCCTGGAACTCTATGTATCCCAGACTGCCTTGGGCTCCTGACCCTCATGGCCTGGCCTCCCAAGTGCTGGGATTGCATGTACGCATCACCACACCCCATTCTCTACCCGTTTGTTAACTGAGCAAATCAGCTCCAGCAGGGCTGTTGTGAATATTAGGTGGACTGAGAGACATTGAGCACTAGAGCATGGTCAGATACACAGCAGTCCATAAATGATGGTTATGACTTTCAACCCTGGGGCCCTTCTTTCCTTTCTTTTGCTCTGTGGTCTGAGATGGTTTTGCTATACTGTGTTTCTAGCTCAGTGGTGGGAATATATCAGAACAGAGAATGTGATCCTTACAAGAAATACCATTTAGAGCTCAGTTAGAGCAACAGCCAATACTTAGTAGGCCATTGGTGCTATGGCTGACAAAACATCCTGAATGAGGGTATGAATCTGAAAGAAGAGAGATAGAAATATTGCTAAGGGTACAGAGGACTGGAAATTGGGAGATCAGAGGGAAAAAGGCAAAGGAGACATAGTAGGGAAGGGAAAAATGGGGAGACAGGGAGAAAAGGATTGCAAAAGATAGTGAAGGGGTAGAACTAAAGAGACACTAAATTGCTCCTGGAACATTAAGCACAAATGAGGGAAAATAAAATTAACATCTTTATTGAAGAGGAAAAGAAGGAAGTAGGAAATATTCTTGTTTAGGGAAATCTCATATAGAAAGGAGCAGGTGCTGGGGCCTTTGGAGGTTGGTTACCATGGTGATGCTATATGTCTTCTTTTGTATTACCTTGTGGTTCTGTCAGCAGATGGTTCCTTTCTGCTTTAGTTTCTCACACCAGGGCGTAGCCCTTATTGAAGCATTGGTATTCCCATCTCCAGTGCTTTTGTTACACTGTGAGACGTACTGGCTGTTGTCTAGCTCCTTTTTGCTAAGTTGCAAGTGTAGGAAGACAATAGAGAAACTGCATACTAGAAAGATGGGAGGCAGAAGCCTGTGGGTACCTCTTTTCAGATGAGTGGAAAGGCACGTTTAGCAGGCCAAGAGCACTTCATGTCTGTTGAGACTGAGAAAAATTTGTAACAGAAGCCTGTGGGTACCTCTTTTCAGATGAGTGGAAAGGTACGTTTAGCAGGCCAAGAGCACTTCATGTCAGGAGAGACTGAGAAAATTTTGTAACGTCTCCCTTTTAAAAAAAAAAAAAAACTTTTTACTGCTTTTTTTTTTGGTGGATTTTACCTCATGCATCCTGATCCCCTTCATCTTCCCATCCCTTCATATCTGCCTTCTACCCTTACAACCTCCCCTCAAAATAAAACAAAAGAAATTTTAAAAGAAAAGAAACAAACAAACAAGCAAATAGTCTCAGCAGGGAAGCTGGAGTGTGGCCCAGTGAGTCACATTCATCTTTACTTGCAGGTGTTCATTGCAATGAGTCATGGGGCTGGTTCGAGGCCTCTGGTCTCTGCTACACCACTGATAATGAGCTCTCACTGGGGCTCCTCTTGGATATCCTGTTGTTGTGCTGTGTCGTGGAGATCCTGTAGCTTTGGATCTGAGGTCTGTCCCCTTCACAAGCTCCAGCAGATCACAGATGAGGTGGATGCTGGGGTGGGCTACTTCATAGCCCTGGTTCTGGGCCTGGGTGGTAGCTGGCTTGATCAGCCTGCCTACTTTCCCTTATCATCACCACCAGGGCAAGTTTTCCAGCACTTCCCTGGCCAGCTCACCCAGTGAAGTAGGTAGCAAGGAGCGGGGTCAGTTCTCCTCCTCTCATGCCTAGGGCAGGCTTAGCCATACCCACTCTACCAGGGCCAGCTCTACTGTTTTGCCCAGGTGAGGGGCAGGAGCAGCTCACGTGAGACTAGCTAGCTCTCCCTTCTGCCACAGGTAGCAAGGGTGGATGGGGGAGGGCATCTTTCCCTCACCCATGTCAACACATGGCAGACGGAGGTGGGCAGGGCCAGCTCTCACACCCTCATCGCCAGCTCACCTGTTCCCTCACTCTAGTGTGCTGCCTAGGTGAGATGCAGGGTCCACTCTCCCTTGTGCTGCAGCTGGTGAGGGGCAGTAGCATCTCTATTTAAAGATAAAGTAAGCACCTCCCTGGAAAACTTAGGTCAATAAACATCTTGGGTTGTTCAAGGCTAAGGGATTTCCATGGAAACAGAATTTTCGATGTTGTTATAATACTGAGCAGATACTAGGCAAAGCAAGATGGTTGTCCCCACTTCCCCCTCTCCCCTATGGAAAAAAACCGTAAGTTTCAAATAGACACTGAAAGATTAAAGAAGGCTCATGAGACAAACTCACCATTTGCCTGCGGTACGCAACATGGGTACTGATTTAGTACTAGTTAATTACTACTAGTTTAGTTTTTGCTATCAACTGATCATCCTCGCCTTACTCATCATGTGTAAAGTGATTCTCTGAGATCAAATATTGAAAGCAACTGAGATGTGGAAAAATGGAAACTTCAAGACCCCATTGTGATCTGCTTAATCAAAGTCACTGTCACAGTGCAGCCCAGGCATCTGTACTTCCTCAAGTTTTTATGATTTCCCCCAAATCTGATAGGGGTTCAAATGGGGGAACGCAGCCTTCAGAGAACTTGATTCCTGCAGTGCAGAAGCCCTGCAAACACCTTGGCCCCAGGGTGGATCCCGACTACTCTTGCCACCTGCACTCACCTTCCCTCACACTTGCCTGAATGTTGCTTTGTTTTTCGTGGGAAGGAGACTAAAACATCATGTCCTCAGTTCTTTCCTGGTCCCTACTTTGTCCTTGTTGGAATTTGTGATCCCACACATTACTGTATACATGAGTGTTTGTTCTCAACAGGGTCGAGACCAGGCCTGTTTCTCTCCTGTGCATTTGCAGCATCTAGCATGGTGAACATGACAACTAAGTATTGCTAAATCAATACACACATGACCTAGTTGACAAAGAGGCACTGGGGCCCATCTTAGCCTGTGGAACAGTGCTAAAAGGCCATGTTTCCATGGGGCCAGTCCTAAAGGGTCTCTTTGCAAGGCCTCTAGCAAAACTCCCTTGTCCAGATGGGAGGATGGCTACAAGCCATTTGTGCCCTCACATGGGAGAAGGAGACAGGAGAAAGAATGAGACTCCCAACTCTGTTCTCTTTCTCCAGTCATGACACTAATCCCATTGGGAGAACCCCACACTCATCATCTCAGTGAACCTCATTAACCCCCAGAGTCGTCGGATTTAAATAATTGTCATGCTGAGTGGGGGTAAGGGCTTCAGCATCTGAATTTTATGAACATCCAGTCCTTAAAGTCATTAATAGGTCTGGACAGATAGCTCAGTGAGTTAGAGTGCTTGCTTCACAAGCAGGAGAACCTGACTTCAGATCTACCTCAACCTGTCTGTGTATTTCTGTAACCCCCGACATTCAAGTAGGTAGGGGTAGAGAGAAGAGGATGCCTGGGTCTTGCTAGCTACCAGCATAGCAAATAAAATCTCCAGGTTCAGTGAGAGGCCTTTTCTCAAGAGAATAAGACAGAGAGCAATTGAGGACACTCTGGCTTCCACGCTTCCACACCCATCCCAACACACATACACAGACAAGTCTGCATCACACACATAAACAGCGAAGTATAATGGGCCCCCGAAACAGCCCTCGGCATTTATTGCCTGCAGTCTGGTGAGAGATGGAAGCACCGGTCCCCATGCAGTATTTCCAAAACTGAATATAATTCTGAAGGGCCGCCTTAGGCAACTCACAAGTGAATGTCATGCTCCTTCTGCAGAGACAGCTGAGAGCACCTTGCAAGGTGAAGCTCTAGGGATCAAGGGCTGCGGCCTCTGATGAGGACCCCACATTTCGAGTATTCACCAGGGCCCGGCACTGACTGCAGTATTCATGTCTTCAGTAGTCTTTGAGATGGCTGCTGCTGTTGTCCTTCCTTACGGATGAGGAGACTGGGATTTTGGCAGAGAAGACAGGTTGTCACCGTCATGCACTCAGAGGAGCCAGAACTATACTGTGATCCTCGTGTCCTGTCCATAGAGCTCATGATCAGAATCCCCTTCCAAGACTGTGTGCTGTCTGCTATGTAAGGAGAGGACTCGGGCTAGGGGAGGCCAGCCAGGGTCCCGGATTCAGACAGCCAGTTAATGCTAGCGCTGGAATCCGCAGTTAGGTCCCCTTCCCCTCTTCAGCCCTTCTCTATCTCAGGACCCCAGTGTCTCTAACTACAATAGTGATAACTTGTCCTGTGTCTCCAGCCACATAGGGTATAGCCAATCTAGACAGGGCACTGAGGTCTTGTAAGTCCCAGTGCTAGATCACCTGTGAGTGCTCAGTACTCAGAAGACTCCAGAACTATGAGTCCATGGTGAGAGTGGGCCCTTCAGGTCGGACCAAATTAGTGGAGAAGGATGTCAGCCCCAAGCACGACCATGACTACCCCAGAGTCACTCTGTGGATGGCATCTTCCAGAAGTTCCTTTCAGCCTTCCTTTTGTGCTAAGGT